CGTGGACTGCCAGAAGAACAGGAGCCCTAGTGGCACCGTGGTTAAGCACTTGGCTACGGACCAGAAGGTCATCAATTCAAACCTATCCGCCATTCCTCAGGAGGGCGAGGGGTCGTCTGCTTCAGTAAAGATCTACAGCCTTAAAGACCCCATTCAGTCCTACTCTGCTCTTCTTTGTCCTATAGTCATTCTGAGTCAGAACTGACCGAAGGGAAGTGGATTTGGGTTTGTTGTTTGGTTGTTGCCAGAACAAACAAGTACATTGTGCACAACGTTCAGCCAAAATGCTCCTGAGTAGCCAGGGTGGCAAGACTTCATATCGAGTCCTTTGCACATGTTATCGGGAAGGACTGATCCCTGGAGAAGGACCTCATGCTAGGTAGAGAGTTAGTGAAAAAGAGGAAGCCTCGCAATGAGAAAGGTTGACACTGGCTGCAAAGAAGGGCTCTCACGTAGCTGGGATCCTGAGGGTGGTGTAGGACCATGCACCGTTTTGGTGTGTTGTATATAGGGCCATTAAGAGTGAGAACTGACAGGCAGGCACCTAACAACAACAACAACAAGCAAACTTTACAGGAGCAGACTGATTGCTAGTTCTTTTCTCCACACAGAGTGGCTGCTGGGTTTGGACCGCTGACGCTTAGTTAGCAGTCAAGGATTTCATCTTTGAGCCACCACGTCAACCTGCTGCTGCCTTTGAGGTGGGTCTGACTCAAAGTGACCCCAGGTGACAGAGTAACGCTGGCCCATAGGGGTTCCCAGGCTGTAGATCTTTACAGAGGCAGACTGCCCCATCTGAGCGGCTGGCTGGTGGGGTCAAACCACCGACCTTTCAGTTAGCAGATGAGCATTTAGCCACTGCGGCACGAAAGCATCTCAATCCGAAAAGCAGTAGAAGACTGGGCTTTCCACTCCACTAAGTAAGTACAGTCTCCGAAACCCACAGGGGGTCATGGTGTGACAGCATTGACTTCACCGCAAGGAGTTGAGAATTAGCATATATTTGGGACCCAGTGCTGATCCGATGTGCTGATGAACTGTGGAGGCAGGAAAGGAGGAAAAGAGGAAACAAGAATTGCCTCAGTGACTGGGTCAAAGGTGGTGTCTTTTACTGAGATGGGGAAGCCGCGGATTGGGGAGTTAAGGATGAGTTGCCTATTAGTCATCCAAGGGGTGATGTCCAGTAGGGAGCTCGATATAGAGTCTGGAACTGAGGTCAGGGCTGGAGGCATTTTGGGGGGTTATTGGCCTATGGATGGCATGTAAAGTCCTAGGACTGGATGAAATCGCTTAGAAGCTGCAGGGACTTTGGGGAACCAGGTCCTAGGGGTGGGGGCGAAGCCCAGGACTCAAAAGAAAAGCAAAAACCAAAGACACAAATGAGACTCACTCCCTGGGGCAAAGGGTATGACATAAAACAAATACAGGTCTCTGGTGTCTTCATAGAACCATCTTGCAATAGCGTTTTAAGCGTGCACTGGGAGTGGGACAGCACGTAGGCTGGGTGGGGACAGGTGCTTTTGCACTGGAGTGAGGGCAGCCTCAAGCCTAGCTGGAGGCCTGGTGAAAGCAGTGTGGGGAGAGGTCCCCTGTGCTGCCCAGGTCTCCCAGTCATGGGCCCACCTAGCAACAAGCTTCAAATGCAGGTTTTAAGTAAGAGCTTCTGATTCACTGTCTGGGGTGAGGTGTGTTTGAAACATGTTCCTTCTAAGACAGACTAAAAGTTGAGAAACCTGTGGTTTGGGGATGGACTGGGTAGAGGGTGTGTCTGGTGACGTCTCTTCGCCTCCAGAGGCTCTGGTGGATCAGGAATCTGAGGTGGGTCTGCCTGGGGGAAGTTTCCGGATGACAGGGTGGCAGGGGACTGCTGGGCCAGGAGAAGCATCAGCTGTAGAAGTGGGACACCTTCCATAATTCTCCAACTCGAATGGAAGCTTTTCTCCCAGACAGATGTAAAATGTACCTTCTTCCATGGCGAAGCAGAGTTTCGGTTTCCTGGGGGCAGCTCCTCTACCTACCACTCGCTCAAAACACAGCTTTCAAGCCAAGTCCTAGTCCTAGCGCCCCCCTGGGAGGACAAAGCAGAACTGCCTTACAGGGTTTCCAAGGCTGAGTATCTTTCTCCGGCAGGGGGTTGGTCAGTTCTCAGCACCAATCTTTTGGTTCATCACTCAGCTACTAACTACTTCGACACCAGGGGTTCCTAGGGGAACTTTTTTCTTCTTCCTGTGTCCTTATGTGGAAACAAGACCATTTCCCAAGGAAAGGAAGTTGTGCCTACACTTCAATAAAATACATTTGTTTGAAACCAGCTATGGACAAAGGAAGGTATTTGCCATTGAGTATTCTGCTAGGAGGAAGCAGTCCTGCGTTCACTAAGTGCCAGTAACTCTATTAGGTTCTGAAGATAAAGCATGAAACTAAATAGACAAAAATTCCTGCCCTCACAAAATGGACAGGCAAATTAGGAGAGAGATTAATACCAACCAAACCCGTCACTGCCATCAAGCTGATTCCGACTCATCGGGATCTGAGAAGGCAGCGCAGAACTGCCTTTGTGGGGGTCTGAGACGAACTCTTTATGAGTCCCACAGGGCCACTGCTGAACTTGTAGTTAGAAGCCCAATGCATAAGCACTACACCACCAGGGCTCCTCACAGATTTATAAAGTAGATAAATCAGGAAACCGTACTTTATGGAACTAGCTTAACTGACTGATAGAGTAAGTAAAATGCTACATTTGATAGTAGCATATGCTAAGGAGAAAAATCCCAAGCAGGGAAGGAAAAAAAAAAAAAAAAGGAAATTCTGTGGGCCGAGAAGTGGGACAAGAAAGAATTTGAGCCTGGTGACATAGGAAAGTCTCCGAGTCCTTCTCTGCCAGCGAAGAAAGAACTCCTTCCTACAGAAGCTTCACTTCAGACTGACTCTGTCCTTTTCAGCAAAGGGACTATGGAGACCAAGTTTAGACTCTCAGAACCCAGTTTCCTCCTCTGTAAAACAAGCAAGCTTGTCCAGCCTATTCCACACGGTTTTTTGAAAATATCAAATGTGATCATTCATATATGCGAAAAATATTTTAAAACTTAGGTCGTTTTGTATCCCTGCTCGCAGGTATCTCATATATGGGCAGCAAATCTCTGGTCAGAACTTCAGACCAGAAAGTAACCACTCCTACTGATTCTCGGCATCGGCAGCGATCATGAGTAGACACCAGGAGTTAAGATCAACCCAATGGCAACTGCTCTTTGTAGTTGTTGCTTTATTGAATGGATTAGCAGTCTCATTTCAGGCTTGTGGGGCAGGCACCTGGGTGGACACTGTACGGACTAGATAGGGTGCCTTGCATTCCCTGGCAGCTCCTGGATGTCCCAGTAACAGCCGAGACATCAAGAAGCTTGAGAGGATCTCAAGAAACAGAGAGAGGAGAAATTATTAGACCAGGGATAACATAAACTAAATGTTCCCAAAGTGGGCAACTCGTATAAAAATAATTATTACCTGGTATTTGTCACATTTAAAAATGGTTTGCAGTGCTTTTGTTTGGTTTACATGTTTGTTCTTATTTTGTTTGTGGGATCTTATTTCCAGAAAATGAACTAGCAGGACTGAAGCAGTTATACGCACAAAACAATCAGTCAATTTACCTGGGGCAGATAGTCCATTTTCTGGGTAGATAATAAACATAGTCAAAGTGGATAATGATTGCAAATATAGGCTGTTGTGTAGTCTATATTCATCTTTGTATCTTTTTTTGCCCTGAATACTTGATAGCATCTTCCAAAGGCTCGCAAAATCAACAAATGTGGTTGGTGGGTCTGCTTGGTTTATGTCTGGCACACAGTTAAGTACTTAATAAGCATTGTTAAATGTATGGACAAGAGATTACTGGTGTATTTGCTTACTATGGGCCGGCCAATCCAATACCCTACGTGTTTGGGCTTTGAAAGCACATAAAATATCTCTGTCCCCTGGCAATGCATATCTGGTACACCCATTTATAGTTCTCAGATTGGACTATAACTCGATGTTTGCTTGTTTTTTCATTCAATTCAATGACAACAGTCAACTTGAGTGGGGTGGGGGGAGGCAGGCTTTAAAAATTGATAGAAAAATCTTCCCATTCCATTTTCCACGAACGTTGTGAATTATTCTCTTATAACCTAGCATAATAGACGCTCAATGTTCTTTACAATTTTTATTAAATGATCATTTTATTGGGGCCTCTTACAGCTCATAACAATCCACACATCAATTGTATCAAGCGTATTTGTACATATGTTGCCATTATTATTTTCCAGACGATTACTTTCTAGTGAGCCCTGGTATCAGCTCTTTTTTCCCTCCCTCCCCAACTCAATGTTGACTCAATAAATAAAATGCACATTCCGGATGCCAAATAGTTACTCCAGTCCTAATAACCTTCTGGCCCGCTCCCATCCACCAGGGGACACCTTCTTCTGAGTCCCCCCTTCGCCCAACGACCAAGTTGGAAAGTTTCCACTCAGCTCCCCAAAGTTTCTACTCCTTCCCCACGTCCCAGCCGTCACCAAGGCCGACGGCCCAGGGCAGAGCGGCGCAGCAACTGGCAAGGCCTCGCCCGGCGGCCAGTGGGTGGACGCAGCCAAGAGCCTTGTGGCCGTTCCCCATTGGGACTTGGTTGCTATGGCATCACCGACTTTCAAGCTGCCGCACACGACTTCCGGCGGGTTCAAGGAGAATTGTTTCCGGGGCTGCCCATACTTGCCATGGCCGCCTCAGAAGTTACTAAGCTCCGCGAAGTCAGACTTTTGCCACTACCTTTGACTCATTCTTCTTTCACGGCTTTAGCTTGTGGTCCTGACGCGTTTCCGACTTTCCTTTGGAATTTCCAGAGGGGTTCCGATACACGCGCAGCTTTCTTTGCCAGCTTCCAAGATGGCGCTGGCGGCATCGGCGGGTCAGAGGTCAGTCACGTGGGCCGCCCCAGTTCCGGCGCGGTGGCGGCCCCGGCTGGCGAGCGCGTCTCCGGCACCATGTCTGGTCTGTGTGGCCTACGAGCGCGGCGTGGCCGCGGCCCGTTGGCGTGGCTGCTCCTGCTCCTGCTCGGCCCCGGCTCGGTCCTCGCCATCTCCTTCCATCTGCCCCTGAACTCCCGCAAGTGCCTGCGCGAGGAGATCCACAAGGACCTGCTGGTGACGGGCGCCTACGAGATCACCGACCAGTCTGGGGGCGCCGGCGGCCTGCGCACCCACCTCAAGGTGCGGCCCTGGGCGGCGCGGGGCCGGGAGGGAGGGCTGCCGGCGTGGGCGCGGGGAGGCCCGGGACTGGGAGGCCGCCGGCCGAGGCCGGGGGAGCCCTGGCCTCCCGAGATGGCCCCTGCCCCGCGCCCTCCCGGGTGGCGTCGTCAGGGCGGGGCCGGGCGAGGGCGCCCCGGAAGGGCCACGAGGCGTGGCGACGGGCGAACTGGGCGGCCCCGGCTGCCCGCTAGTCCCCCGGGGAGTCGTCTGCTTGTCGTCTCCGGTCCCCTGAGCTGCATCTCGCTTCTTCAAGGGAGTCTGGATCTTGTGTGTTTGCCGGGGATCGACGGGCCGGGGTGCCCGCTGCAAAGTCGTGGGAGACACTAAAGGTTTCGGTGAAGAATAAAAGCTAGTGTTGGTGGAGCATCTCTTGTAGCATCTGTTGTGTTTCTTCACGAAGATTCCCATCTCCTTCTTTCTTTTTCCTTTTTAATCCCCCTGCCCACCCAATCTCCTTCGTGCACCACCTTGCAGAGTAGGTACTGTTAACCCCAGTCGGCACGAGAGGAAACCGAGGCTCAGAGAAGTGGAATAAACTGGAGTGGAATACCTTTGAGAGCGAGAAGTGCTACAATCTTAGCTCTAGCCCCTGTTTTAGGGTGTCACTCCGGTGATGGGTTGAAGTCAGTTAGTTGGGCGCAGACTGGTCTCAGTCTTGCTCTGGTTCCCAGAGTCTGGATGTGGCCAAGTTTTATCTAAATCCCAACTACACTCTGAGCTGATGACAGCTGCGACCCGAAGCCAGTTTGGTTTCTTTTGCAATCAGGTGAGCCTGGGCTGCTGTCTTAAACGTTAATATAGTGTGATGTTATCAGTCAGGATTTGATATATTCCCCCCCCCCCCCCCACTGGAATCTCTCGTTCATCACAAGCATGGTAGTTTTTATGTTTTCTTTGAGCAGTATATGAGTCTATTCTTAGAGTAAGTAGTATTTGTAAAGAGTACTTCCACGTGTGATCGTAATTTATATCTAAAGTATTGGGACCTGGAGCCAAGCCAGGAGTGTAATTAAGGTAACTAGGGCTCAAGGCGACCATGTGTCTAAGTAAAGACCCGTGTTCTGTAGGCTTTTCAGAGTTGATTGTCCCTAATTAGATATGCGTGGAGGTTAGCAGCCAAGCTCAGGTCTTCTCCATCTTCAGAGCCTGCAGTGTAGAGTCTTTGGCAATGAGGGTTTTTGCCCTGTTTCTTCCACTTCCTACTTTCCCTTGTGAGGACCCTTTGAATATACTGGAACCAGATAATCCGAGATAAACTCCCCATTTTAATATCCTTCATGTAAGATATTAATCATACCTACAAAACCCCTTGCTATGGGAAGTAGCTTCTATAGGTTCAAGCGCTAACCAGACCAAATTCACTGTCATCGAGTCGATGCCGACTCAGAGCGACCCCAGAGGACAGGTTAGAACTGCCCCGCTCTTTACTGGAGTAAGCCTCCACTTTCTCCCGAGGAGCAGCTGGCAGTTTCATACTGCTGGCTTGCAGTTCGTAGCCTAACTCACAAGCACTGCGCCACCATGGCTCCTAGCAGATGCCCGGGAGCCCTGTTCTACCTTCCATCACCTTGTTCCATGTGGGCATTGATCCAGTGATGCTTGTCATCGGAACTTAATTTTTTGCCAAATTTGTAGTTTTCTAATTCTGTTATTCCACTTTGAGATTGGGATAGGATAAGAATTTTATTCATTGAATGATTCATTGAGTTGTAAGTGTGGAAATTGTGTTGGCACATGTTTTGGTGCATATGTGTTCACAACAAAAAGAAGAAAAATGAAAGCATTTACTAATGAAGGCCATTTGATTACTCTAAAGCTTACAGTTTGTATAGGAAAAGCTGACGCATGGGGACATGATAGGACTAGGACCAGGACCGAGTAGAGCTTCCTTTAGCATTTCCAAGGCTGTTGGCATTTTTGGAAGCATACTGCTTTGTCTTTCTCCCAGGATGGGCTGGTGAATTTGAACCACCAACCTCCAGGATAGTGGCCAGGCACTTAACACACTGTACTACGAGGGCTTTTATTGTTATTGGTGTTTTTGCAGAGTTAGCAGTTCTTGCTTCCAGTGAAGTCCAAGGTAGTTTTTAGTATTATGATGAGTTTATTTTTTAGTGCTTTTGATATTCAGTTTCTGGATCAATTTCCTTTGTCTTTATGCTCAAGGGTTGTCTCTTGGGCTCCTGGTTGATTTCTGTGTTCCTTTGACAGCATCCCACCCGCCTTTGACAGCTTTCTTATTTTCTGACATAGCGGCTATTCCTCCAGGGAAGTCCGAGTGCTTTGCGTGGAGACTGGCAGTTGGTGACCACAAGCCTATTGGTGTAAGTTAAACGATACACTGCAGGCCACATCCAGCCCATGACCTTTCCCATAGTGTCTGGTTCCTTTTTTTAAAAAGTGAAAAACAGTAGCTGTCAAGTTGATTCTAATCCATGATGATTGCCTATGGGCCAGTATAGAACTGTGCTCCATCGGGCTTTCAGTGGCTGCTTTGCGGGGGAAGTAGATCACCAGGCTCCACATGACCTTATAGAAGAGTAGAAGTACCTGCTCTGTAGGCTGTAAGTCTTCCTGGAAGCAGACAGAGTGACCCGCCAATGGGTTCAAACACTTCCCTTTTCCGCCCACTTTAGCAGCCCAACGCTAAGCCCACTGCACCAGCAGGGCTGCTCCTGTGAAGATTTAAAACCACTCTCATTGCGTTGATTCTGACTCACAGCCTCAGAAACCCCATGGGATAGTTCTACTTGGCTCTACAAGGTCACTGAGTCCGAATCAACGCAGCATCGATGGGTTCTGGGTAAATAAGACTGTTTTCCTTGGAAGGATCTCTATGAATGTAGTGCCTTGATTAACTGGACTGATTCACTTTCCAATCTACGGACAGGTGTATCTAGTGAATTTCTTATATTGGTGGCCTAGTGGATTATGCTTTGGGCTGCTAACCACAAGGTGAGCTTCAAACCCACTACTCCACAGAAGAAAGAGGAGGCTTTATGATCCTGTAAAGATTTGCAGTCTTGGAAACCCAAAGGGGCAGTTCTACTCTGCACTGTAGGGTGGCTCTGAGCCAGAATCGATGCAGTGGCAGGGAGTTTGAGATTGTAATGGTGTGTTTGCTCATTCCCTCAGATAGCTAGTACATGCCTTGAAGTAGAGACTGACTATACCTTACATATCACTGCAGTACTTGTTTGTAATGCAGCAGGATTTCAGTACAAGAAATGAATGAGCAAATGAACATTGTCTTTCTTCCTTACTCTTTCCTATTCTCAACTCTAGGTATGATGTTCTGGATCCCTTCCAGTTCTTTGAATAGGATGCTGTCTCTTCTTAAATTAGTCTTTGCCTTTATCCCCTTAGGATCCTGGTGGTGTATTGGGTTACTCATTTTGTTTCTAATCACAAGGTTAACGATTCAAAACCACCAGCAGCTCCCTTGGAGAAAGATGAGGTTTTCTACTGAAAGGATTTATCATCTGGAAAACACAGGGGCTGTCGTACTCTGCACGCGGGTCATTATGAGTCACGCTGCCTCGATGGCAGTGAGTTTGGTTTTGGATCTGCTACTCGGAGGAGCTCGGATGGCTATGAGTTGGGCTGTAACCTCCAGAGCAGCAGTTTGAAAGCACCAGCCGCTCCTCTGTGGAAAGATGAGGCTGGCTCCTCCGGTAAAGGTGTGCCGCCTTGGAGGTCCTCTTTGAGGGCACTGAGTCAGAATGAGATGTGCTACTGGAAGCCCTGTTGGCATTTAGGGGGTATATTGTGCTGGACTGCTAATCCCAAGGTCAGTAGGTCGAGAGCAACAGGGGGAGTTCTAGTCTGCCCTGTAGAGTGGCAATGGGTCAGGATTGGCTAGATGGCAGTGAGTGTGGTCTGGTTATATGCTACTCTAAAGAACCGTGGTGGCACTGTCAGGTAACCACTGGACTGCTAACCATGTAGGCATCCCTCTGGGTCTGTTCTGTTGGGTCACATAGGGCACTTTGAGTTAAACATGACCCAACGGAGCAAAAAGCAGCAACAGCATATGCCAGGCACCCAGTCTTTGACTTCTAGGGAGGAACAAAGACACCCCCCCCACCCAAAAAAAAATGGTTTAAAACTGCATAACTGCAACTTCAGGTAGTGATGAGGATTGGAACAAACTGTCCAGCGGTAAACGGAGAACGTGCGATTGATGGAGTAGAATACGATGGAGGGGTGAGAATGAACAGAGAGAATGGGTTGACATGATGCAGAAACTGCTGCAAAGAATCCCTTTTTAGGCCTCCTTTTGGGATGCACTGTGTGTTGAGATTTTCTGTTGAATCCATCCGATAGTCCCCATTTGTACTCATTTCCCAAAATGAGGCTAAGCCAGGCAAAATAATAGCTGATAGACTGTGTTGCACAAAATTGGAGCGGAAAGTATTAACTCATCAGATGAATGTAGAATTTTACAAACGCGCGCGCGCACACACACACACACCCCAGTGTTTCAGGTCCGTGGTAAACCTGTTGTAGGGACTCTAAACCTCCGTGCTCTAGATTTTGAATTGAACAGCACGTTTTCATTAAGCCTAGATGGAACCAGTACTGTTTATTACTTGGGGTGACTATTAATAGTGAACCTTTGATATAAATTAACTTTAGGGATTGCTATGAGTTATTGCCTCAAGGTGATTTATACTTTGGAGATCGATTATAGAAAAAAGGGAAAATTAGAAGAGTTGTCATAATCCTCCCAGAAAGGGGATGGGGAGGCCCATTGTAAAAGCCCATGGCATTTAGAGACCTCTCTTCAGTGGTTATGTGATGATTGGGCCAACTGTTTTCATTGCCCGAGTTCACCAATCTTCCCCCTAACTCAGGATTCATGTTGCTAGCTGGGATTTTTTAATTTGGATGTTAGGCTCACTTTGGCCCCTCGTCCTTCCCAATCGAGTTTATAGCTGGGAAAGTCCAACAGAATTCGA